CTTGTCTGAGCTGCGCAGCAACCTGCAGGTAGGAGCAGCGTCCATCTACGTTAGATTATTATTACACTTGAACCAATAACAGCACAGTTGTGTGTTAATTTGTCACCTTTCTTTGTCTCTCAGGTGTCTAATGAGCCAGGAAACCGCTACAACATCCAGCTGATCAATGCTCTAGTGTTGTATGTAGGCACACAGGCAATCGCTCACATCCACAACAAGGGCAGCACCCCCTCCATGAGCACTATCACCCACTCTGCACACATGGATATCTTCCAGAACCTGGCTGTGGACCTGGACACTGAGGGTAAGGTGGCAGCAGTAGTTAGTTCTATCTAAAGAGCCAAAAGAGAAAAGCTTTAGGAAAAACGTCACGTGTGTTTCCGGTGTGAGCTCGAAGAGTTTAGATCTTCCAACATCTGCTGCTGTGTCTCCTCAGGGCGTTACCTGTTCTTGAACGCGATCGCCAATCAGCTGCGCTACCCCAACAGCCACACTCACTACTTCAGCTGCACCATGCTCTACCTGTTTGCTGAGGCCAACACCGAGGCCATCCAGGAGCAGATCACCAGGTGAGTCGCGGTCGGATCGGAGCCACTGTGATCTCGGCAGAAGTGATACGTGGAGCCGTCACAAAGTTAACCACGAGTGCCGTCAGTCAAAGCTTTCTCCTCCTCTTCCAGGGTTCTGCTAGAGAGGCTGATAGTGAACAGGCCACACCCGTGGGGACTCCTCATCACCTTCATCGAGCTGATCAAGAATCCTGCCTTCAAGTTCTGGAGCCACGACTTTGTGCACTGTGCCCCTGAGATTGAAAAGTAAGTTCCCTGTTTGACTCAAAGTATTCTGTTTACATGCAGCTGTGCATACAAATCCCTCTGTAGGGTGAACAGTACATCATAACAGTTCAAAGTGAGCAGCTTGAGACATTTTTCCTCTTTACACCAAAAGAGAAATCCTTTTTCCAAAGTTCTCCACCGGTGGTGACCACAGCCTCACTCGTTCATTCATTCAACCACCTTGTTAAAGTCTTTGTGTATATCCTCAACCTGTTGATATCCAGGTCTTCACTATGTTAGAACAGTGGGCTCTTCTTTTGTTATAACGACAGAACTTAGCCTAAAGAGGCAAACTGTGGTTAAAAACCCCAAATGAGACGCACTATACATCCCAAGAATGCTCCTGAAAGCTGAATAATATCTGCATATCCCTCACGTCTTCATCACAAACATTCACAATAAGACCTAATGCAGGGGAATTGGCTGTTTGTTATATTCAGAATCATAGTGGAGAATCAGTGTGCAACAATCTGGAGATATGGTACGCATCAGTGTATGTTTATACTGTAATCAAAGCGACATATTGCAATCATTATAAAGAAATCTAGCCCTCTGGTTGCGTTTACACTACAGTGTAATGGTTGCAGGTGTGTAAACACACAGTTCTGTCGTCTTTGTGTCGATAACTGAGCCCGCACAGACGCCACTTGTTAGCAGGAAGAATTCAAAGAGAGTTGTGATGCTAATAATAATAATGAGATAGAGTAAAGCTGCTCCCTGTAACAGACGGTAATGTCTTCCCTCTCCCCTCCAGGCTGTTCCAGTCGGTAGCCCAGTGCTGCATGGGACAGAAGCAGGCCCAGCAGGTGATGGAGGGCACCGGTGCCAGCTAGCCTGTGTACCAGCCAGCTCGTAGCCCTCGGGAGAGATGCCGCGGCCTTGACCCACTCCCCCCCCACCACACAAAAACACATCTCCCTCTTTACTGTTGGCACTGGATAAACTGGCAACCACAGTCATTTGAAAATGTGGATGAAAAAGGACTACTGTTGACGGTTCTAAAGGAGTTCATGGTTCTGAGGAGTTAGATTTTTGTTTATCCCTTTGGGGCTGAATTGAAATGGAGATAATGGATTGATGCTGTTTAATATACTTTTTTTTTTTGATGCTTTTGATGTAAATATTGGAAAAAGGAAGCACGGGAGCGTAGATAAGTGGAGAGCAATGCACATGTCAATAAAAATGTATCCTGACATGTAAAGACATCTAAACGAAACATTTTCACTCACTACCAAAGTCCTTGGTTTGCGTCCCTCCCACACAGATCCTTTTTTCTTACTTTTTTTTTTTTTTTTTTTGGTTGCTTTCAGAGGCTGAATGGTAGATGATTGAAGAAAAAAAGCTGCCTGCTACTTTCATTTGATTCCTTTTTATCCCTGAGTGGGACAGGAAGACGGAGGGTAGTCTCCCAGGTGGGGTGGGGGTCTGCTCCTGGTGTGTTGGTGGAGAAGGTTTGCTGATGGTTTGTCCATTTGAAACTGGCTCTGGAAGTCTCTCCCTGGCACTTGTAAATTGTGCAAAAGTGATGGTGACATCGTATCTTGACAATTTGTACAAAGATCCAAATTGAAGAACAATAGAAGGACCAATACAGCCCATTTTGTAACATTTTGAATGTTTTGTAAATGTATTGGTCCATGTGTTGTATTTTGTAGTTCTTTCTAGTTTGCCTTTAGTTCTTGCTACTTAACTGCAGTATGCATACATACAGGAAATAAAGCATTCAAACTGCAACGCATCTGTGTTCATTCAGGACGACCGGAGTGATTGGAGGGTGTTTTTTATACTCCAGGTACAGCGCTGCTCTAAAGGTTTGTGAATCCTGAATGTCTCTTTCAGCCTCTTCCTGAGCTCCTCTGAGATTGGTTTTCCTCTCTGCTAGGGTTGCCCACTCCCCCTGGAATACGTGGATGTTTAGAGACCCAGCTGTTGGTAGGATGAGCTGCAGACTTCAGTAGTGGGTGTGAAGCAGAACGGACTTTGGCGTTGACAGTCAAGCGTGGCAAGAAAAGCGAGCTAATGCAAAGTGTTACGAAATCATTTCATGATTAGTGTGGAAATTATCGTTTTTTGTATCACAAACTTTATTTTCTGTACCCAAAAAAAACATGTTTTTGTCACATTTTATCTTTTTATTCTGAGATTTTCATGTTGCAGTTTGGTTAATATTTCCAATAATCCTGCAGCCTTACTAAGATTGTCCTGTATGGGTTCACCAGACTGAACTGAACTCCCTAAAGATCTATTTCATTGGTTCATTTAGCCAGCTGATTGTATTTACCTGCTCCTTTTAAGCCTCACAACAGATTATTTTCACTGCACATTTTATTTCCTCAAAGTACATTGATTTGATAAAAACTGATTAAATAGATAATGGTGAAATTCTCTGGAGGTTCTCGCACTTCGCAGCAGCACTGTAACGGACGGATGTTTCATATTGTCTTTGAATGAAGTTTTACATGTTGTCATGATGGCAGTGGTAGTACACTGTACCTACCTAATGACAGTTTTTATTAGAGAATGTGAAACGTTCAACTGTGTTATGTACGTCCACAAGATTTGGTTGCATCGACTGCAGAAAGGGTGGAAACAGACTGAAAGTATTTGAGGTTGACTGTTGGCTTTACTTACAAATTCAGGAGGCTCTATCGGCAGAAATGGATTATAACACTTACAGATATGTTTCCATGTATAATGAGCTGCAGATAAGAATCACTGTATCCCCCCCACAGAGGAACTATGGGTTACCAAGCGTCCTGGAAAACCTGGAAATTTAGGAGTAGTTTTTCCAGTCATACAAACACCTGGACATGGATTCCAAAGGACCAAATGACAGAAATTTGAATTGTGTTCTCGCTCTCGTGATGTAAATATAATCCAGCCCCTGAGATTTTTATTTTTTGTGGCTATGTTGTCCATTGACATTCCTGCCTGGGTCCAGTTTCTGCATTTTCTTCATCGCTTCACATCCTCTGTTGACGGCCACTCGTTCTTACTTTATTTAGTCACAAGGTTTTGACTGGCGGGCGCTCAACAGACAAACTGAATCAGCATTGGAAGAGAATTTACCAATAATCTACTGTATTAATTATTTTTGTCCCGCTAGTTGTTTCACATCAGTTTAAACTACAATTCAAATAAAAACAATTCTATTTTAGAAATGTGTTCTTGTCTCGTGTAAAACAATAGCAAAGGTCGAAGCTTCCTGACAGTGTGTGCCATCGGTTTCTAAGAAGAGAGTCTGTTTCTGGGCTTTTGAAGACATAAAAATCTATATCGCATTTCTTCTGTTACATATGATTTTAATAATGGAATTATTTGAACAATATTGGGCTTTCTTGTAGCACTGAGAGGACAATACCAACAACCAATCCAATTTAACTCTGAGACCACTGACGTATGTAAACCTGGGTCCGCATTTAGTTTGAAACTCGACGTGTAAATGTCTCACCCTATTATCCCTGTAATGGAAACAGACAATGGTAAAACATCTTGCTTATCAACACTAATAGTGTGCATTGGTAACGGGAGTGCAGAACAAGCAGTGTTTAAGATCAGGGTGTGTTCAGGATATCATTTATTGACACACAGGAGCTCCATCAGTCTGTACAGGATGCTGTTCCGTCCTGGTCAGCGTCCACTCCCTCGTCTCCGTAGCAAGGTTATTATAGTTACCTGAGAACTAAAACTAGAAGTGAAAAAGCATTTCAGTGAACAGAAATAGAAATTAAAAAAGCATGGTGCATCAAACTGATTCATTATATTAAAGTTTCACTCCATAGACTGTAGAACTTGAGTTAATGTGCTACCTGATACAGGTATCACTGTCCCGTACCTGACAGCGCCGCCTCCTGAAGAGGGACAGGAGGAACCTTTAAACCTTTACCATCTTCATTAGTGCATCATGTGTCCAGTTCTATGACTTCCACAAGCAGGAACAGTTCATATTATTCAAAAATAAGCTAGATATAAAATCCCAATTTAAAATATCAAGATGCATTGAGGTGAGTTAGTAAGGCAAATATATTGTTGGATGGTAGAAAAGGTCTGTGGGACACATACACATACAATAACATCTATATGAACATTAACAGCTCACTCACAGATCTGCACTGAGAGGAGGAGCAACACTGAAAGAGCTTCAGTGACACATTTCCTGGAAATGAAAGTGAAAGTTTGTCTCTCTGTTTGTCTCTGAAGACAAATTCAACTGAATCCATCAGGTTTTTCTCAACTAAACAGCAGAATCTCTGCCAACCTCTGGTGAGTCCACTGCCCTACAGAGCTTGTTACAGTCTGTTATAGCACATACAGATAGAAGGAAGGAGCTAAATCCAACCAAACAATGAAAACACACCACAGAAACTAGTCCTGCTAAAGCTAACTAGCCTAGCTTAGCTTCCCTTTGGGTTGTGTAAAGGACAGAGTACAGCGTCTGATTTCATCTGAGAGTTTGTTGTATTGCTTATAAAGGTATAACATTGTACTTTTACAACTTATATAACTGTTACACACTTTGGTAAGTATCCTTAAACCTCTCGTCTTCAGTGTTTCTGTAGTTCCTGCTGTCTGTCTCTGGGAGGCAGTACAGCTGATAATATTTACTGTGTTTCAACAACCGGTATTAACACAAAACCTGAGCTCTACTCAGACAGGAAAAGGTCACACTGAAGGTCTTACTGTCTAAATAAATCACAGAAAAATGTAAAAAAGTGTGTTGAGTTTAATATTAAATTTGGACCTAGTTTGAAAATATTTCCACTTTAATAAAATATAAGCAGTTTATTCATAAAGCACATTTCATAGACAATGGTATATTTGAGGTGCTGTACAGTTTATTTAAATACAAGACAGCTTAAAAATAAAATTAAGATGGAAAGATAAATATAGATAAACTAAAATAGTGTACACCGATCATCCGTAACATTGTGAGCACTGACAGGTGACGTGAATAACAATGAAAAGAACCAGACACAGGGTCATGGGTGGCCAAGGCTCATTGATGCAGGTGGGGAGTGAAGGCTGGCCCGTGTGGTCCGATCCAACAGACGAGCTACTGTAGCTCAAACTGCTGAAACAGTTAATGCTGGTTCTGATAGAAAGGGGTCAGAACACACAGTGCAGAGCAGTTATGATCGGTGTGTATATATATACTTTAAACCTCAAACCTTCACATATATATATTATTTAATGTGTGATGTGACAGTAATGGAGTAAATATTTTAGAATCACCATGTTATCACTTTTCTGTTCTACACTGGCAGCAGAGTCCAGAATCTGACTGTGTAATGAGCAATCTCAGTAAATCAGACACTGAATCAAAAACAGATTAAAACTGCAAACTCATCAACAATCGCAGCTCATGTCTCATGTTGTGCGATTTTTTTAGTCAATAATCAATATGGCCCTTACTTGGTTTCAGTATAATAACAGAATTCAGGAAGAGACTCCTTATGTTGCAATAATCATAATTAATTAATTTTATTATAATCAAAAGAAATGTAATTACAGTTTTCTTTTCTTTTTATCCTCACAGTGTAGATATGTCTGCTGCCAGCTGTCTGCTGACTGAAGATCAGTTCCTGTGCTCCATCTGTCTGGATGTGTTCACTGATCCAGTCACCATACCATGTGGACACAACTTCTGTAAAACCTGCATCACTGAACACTGGAATATTAATGTCCAGTGTCAGTGTCCCAACTGTAAAGAGGTTTTCAACACAAGACCTGAGCTGCAGGTCAATACTTTCATCTCTGAGATGGCTGCTCAGTTCAGACAGTCAGCTCAACAGAAAGCCAGCAGCAGCAGCTCAGAGCAACAAGTTTCCAAACCAGGAGAAGTTCCCTGTGACGTCTGCACTGGAACCAAACTGAAGGCCCTGAAGTCCTGCCTGGTGTGTCTGGTCTCCTACTGTGAGACTCACCTGGAGCCTCATCTGACAATGTCAGGCCTGAAAAGACATCAGCTGATCGACCCTGTGGAGAACCTGGAAGACAGGATGTGTACGAAGCACGATAAACTGCTGGAGCTGTTCTGTAAGACCGACCAGATGTGTGTCTGCGTGCTCTGCACCTATTCAGACCACAAGACACATGATGTTGTTCCTCTGAAAGAAGAATATGAAGGAAAGAAGGCCGAGCTGGGGAAGACAGAGGCTGAAATTCAGCAGATGATCCAGAAGAGACGACTGAAGATTCAGGAGATCAAACGCTCAGTGGAGCTCAGTAAGGAAGGTGCAGACAGAGAGATAGCAGGTGGTGTTCAGGTCTTCACCGCTCTGAAGGAGTCTGTTGAGAGAAGCCAGGCCGAGCTCATCTACACGATCAAAGAGAAGCAGAGAAAGACAGAGAAACAGGCTGAAGACTTCATCAAAGAGCTGGAACAGGAAATCTCTGAGCTGAAGAAGAGAAGCTCTGAGGTGGACCAGCTCTCACAGTCTGAAGACCACCTCCACCTCCTCCAAAGCTTCCTGTCTCTGACCGCTGCTCCACCCACCAAGGACTGGACAGAAGTCAGCGTCCGTCCACCTTCATATGAGGGGACTGTGGTGAGAGCTGTGAATCAGCTGGAGGAGACGCTCAGTAAACAGATGAAGAAGCTGTTTGAGGTCGAGCTGAAGAGGGTCCAGCAGTATGCAGTGGATGTGACACTCGATCCTGATACAGCACATCACCAACTCATCCTGTCTGATGATGGAAAAGAAGTGTATGATAGTGATGTAAAGAAGAATCTACCAGACAATCCAGAGAGATTTGATACTTGTCTCTGTGTCTTAGCAAAGCAGAGTTTCTCTTCAGGAAGATTTTATTACGAGGTTCAGGTTAAAGGGAAGAGTGACTGGACTTTAGGAGTGGCCAGAGAGTCGATCAACAGGAAGGGAAAAATCACAGTGAGTACTCAGGATGGTTACTGGTCGATATGTTTGAGGAATGAAAATGAGTACAAAGCTCTTGCTGACCCTGCAGTCAGTCTCTCTCTGAAGTCTCAGCCTGAGAAGGTGGGGGTGTTTGTGGATTATGAGGAGGGTCTGGTCTCTTTTTATGACGTTGATGCTGCAGCTCTTATCTACTCCTTTACTGGCTGCTCCTTCACTGAGAATCTCTACCCATACTTTAGTCCCAGTCTTAATTATGGTGGTAAAAACTCTGCCCCTCTGATCATCTCTCCTGTCAATCACACTGAGTAGAACAACCAATTGATTTTCTCCAGAAAGATTCACATCATTTAATGAATACATTGTTTTCCTTTTATTGGTGATGTAAATGTTTTTCTTTGATGTTTCACATTGCTACTTACTACAACAATACACCCATTTTACTGCCTCATTAACATCATATTGCAGCCTAATTTATTCTAATAACTGCATTATCTGCCTTCAAAACAATAAAATCCTCAGAAAACAATGTACTCAGGAATAAGAAACATTTACACATTATTTAAATGTCTGGGTGACAAATTCAACCTTTTTATTGTCTGATCATTGTTTATATAAGAATACTTTAGACTATAGACTGGCACAAATTAATGAAGAGCCTTTTTATAAATGAGACAAAAGTAAATTGCTGTTCTCTGTTCTCTGTCTGATTAATTTATTTTGTTTTTGGTTGATATCAAAGCTGTAAAAACAGCTGATGATGTTTCTAATCACTACCAAATCATGTGATTAAAGTCCTGATTTGAGCTGATGAGCTCCAATAACCATCACATCTGAGACCGTTGGTAGTGTCAGATAATATTAATTTATTTTAATGTTGATTTTTACTTCATTGTCTCTGTGTAAATGTTTCATATCTTTAATAAAGTGGTTGCAGCTAAAGATTAATAATAAACTGAAAGTCTCCCTCGTCTCAATGTTTTAGGAGATGAAATGTTTTCTATTAATTTGATGAAACAGATTCACAAAATTATGTCCTGAAGGTTTGGAAACCTTTTTAGACATCTCTTGATGAGACTTACGTGTTTAATTCATGATCTCTGCTGCTTTAATTTAATCTGATCTGTGCCAAATCTGCCTTAATATGCATTACTGATTTAAATTCTGCCTGTCCCCACCCGTATGTGTTTTCTTCTATTTTCTTTTTTGTTCCTAATTCATTTACTAATATATTTATTTGTCACCATTTGATGCGATAGTGGGAGTAAGGGGAATGTGCCATAGGTAGAAAAGTAGTAAGTAAAGTAAGTAAGAAAATATTAAGGAATAATTAAGTGGTTTTTCAGTTATCTGTACTTAACTTGAATTTATTTTTCTGACCACATTTTTACACAAATATCTGTGCTCTCTACCCCTTACATTTTAAAAACAGGCTTGTTGCCTTAGTTTCATGCACTTACTTACTTTAAGGGGAATTATCAATTATTATTATTATTATTTTGCATCATTGCACACCTTCCCAACATCAAGACTGCTGCAAATCTGAGAATCTGAAACTGTTGGTAGTGTCAGATAATGTTAATTGATTTTAATGTATATTTTGACATCATTGTCTCTTTGCAAATGTTTCATGTCTCTTATATTGTGTCTGTTCATTCTACATTGTTGAAATGTTGTGGTTATAATGATTGATTACCTTACAGTTTGTCAAATTTAAATTCATACAATAAAGATGAAAAGTAATTAGACAATATTTGTGTAACCCAGCTGGACAAAATGGATTGAATAGAAATGAATAAAGTTATAAACAATCAAACTACTGATTAAGGTTTTAAGTGAATATTTTTATTTCTGTTATTAAAAACTAGTAAAGGTTTGTTTCACCAACTTGCGCCCCTCGCTATGATTGACAGCAGGTTTTGGGGTGCTTTTGGCGAGCAGGAAGAGGTGTATGTGACACAGAGAGAGAGAGAGAGAGAGAGAGAGAGAGACAGGACCTCCAAGCCTCAATGTGGAACTTGAAGTAGACGCTCCGTGTAATAACGTTGAGCTTCATAAGAGTTGAGAAGTCGTAACGAGTACTGAGGATGAGCAGTTGCCAGCTGAAAGTGAAACGGGTTTCCTTCTCAGCTTCTCACTTTGTTTGCTGGTCGTGTGTTGGCAACTAAATTAATCCCATGTACAGACAGTTCTAGTATTTTCTGTGGTTCCTGTTAAATGCTTAAAGAGAAACGTTTTGATGCTTAAAGTGTAAATTTCATAGTAATATTCACCATGTTAAAATAAAAAAAATTTCCTCTAGTGTGGAGTTTTTAATCACTTACTCCTCATGTTGACAGATTATTAAGTGATTTGCTGAGCAGTATTTTGTTAAGAGATGGTGAATTATATCTAATGTTGAGAGTATTTGTCCAAATTATTGTTTATTCAGTTGTGAAACAGGTACTGTGTTTCTACAGAAAACTCTGAGAAAGTAAGTTTAAGGCTTACTGTTTAATGTGTTTTATTCCTTCCTCAAATATTAGCTGAGCTGAAACAGTTTAACACTATTTTCATGTCTGTGACAATATTGTTTGTTAGAGCAAATTGTTTTATTTTATTTAAACTTTTTATTTAAACATTTTAATCCTTTTACATAACATTTCCTGCAAATGTATAAATGTGATAAATGAATGACAGGCAGTATAAGTTACAATAAGAATAAACGAATGAAATGAAAATATAATAGTTATAATATTAATCATAGTAACACTAACAATAACAACAACAGGCAGAGGTGCAAATATCTGTAGATAATGGCTAAGCAAGATTTTCCAAAGAGGAATTTAGATAGGCATCCTTTCCCAACAGTACTCCATCACATCATCCCATCCATCAAACCCCCAGGTACCTTGAAATACAAGTCCATCTTTGCACAAAAGTGTCCATAGTCAGCTGCAGACTACATTTTTCAGTCTCTGGACCCATTGACCTATTGTTGGCAGTTTTACATCCCTCCAGTTCACTGTAATCATTTTCTTTGCCACTAATAAAAGAATCCTCAGTATATATCTATGCTGATCTGCATATAGGTCTTTGGGTATGGCTCCCAACAAAAACAACATTGGTTCTGGAGTGACATCTACCTCCAAAATAATATCAATTTCCTTTTGAACATTGTCCCAAAATCCTTGTGTTGCTGGACAATCCCAAAAAATGTCTGTGGTGTCTCCAATATTTCCACATTTTCGGCAACATAATGTCACATTGGGGTTTTTCACGTATGAAGAGATGATAAAGGGAGTATTAAAAAATCTGATCTTAACCTTCCAGTCAAATTCTTTCCACAGTTGGTTACTAATTCCCTTATGTAAGCTTGTCCATATGTCCATCCATGTAGAATCTTCAATGATAACATTCAATTCTATTTCCTATTTTTCCTTAATGTAGTCCGTGTTTTGTGAAGGGCCAGTTTTTAACCTTTTTATATATATTAGATATGTGTTATTGCATTTATTTGTGCAGCCCAGAAATCATTTTTAAGGTTTGGCAGACCTCGAACTTCCTTGTCTTTGGGTAAATGAAGGGATTTTAATCTTACCCTTGGTCTCTTCCTTTGCCAAAGATCATCATGGCTTCTGATTTATTTTCATTAATTTTGTATCCAGAAGGACAGAATGGAGAAATATGTACTTTTAATGTATTTCATATTTTATTACAAGGGTGGTATCTATGTAATATCTTCAACTTCTTTCATTTTATGTGGAATGAGGAATTTATTAGAGTCTGACCAAATTTGTTGTTCAGGGAAGTTTAGTTTCCATAAAAGAGTTGATTTGGTCAGAATTTTCTCAATAAACAACAGAACAGTGACAGTGGTGTCGATCTCAGTTATTAAAGTTATAAATAATTTAGCCAGAGGACAAATACAACATAACCAAAACAAAAAAATAAATGAATGAGCAACGCTTCACAAATTTGCGTGTCATCCTTGGAAGGGGCCATGCTAATCTTTCTTCCTATTTTCTGCCTTTATTTTCACTCCAACTGTCAGCTGCAGTTCCATAAAGTCACCAGCAGGTGTCAGCCTATGAGCAGTGTATGGGAGGAGGGTGCTGTTGTAGTCTGAACATTGACAGTATGCTGTATATTAGAGTCTGACTGCCGAATAATAAAACACTTTTAAATATGAGGTTTAGAGATGGGAAGATGAATTCAGTGTACAACTGAAACACCTCTGAGCTCTAATTCATCAGTTTATCTTGTCATCCTGTATGTCTCTCTGTATTAAACCCTTCTTCAGTATTGATGTTTTTCATCCTGGGACTCTTCAGTTGAGAGTTGAGTGTGTGTTTGGTTCATGGAGGTCCTGTTTGTCCAGAAAGTGACAGTGTTGCTGTGCAGCAGGGTCCGGTTTAGGCTGTGAAGGCAGCAACAAGTGGACGTGGCCTTTCAGATGGGACAGAATGAAGTGCATGTCCTCCTCTCTGAATTTGTCATTAACTAGTAGTAGTAGTAGTACTACTACTACTACTACTAATAATAATAATAATAATAATAAGTAGTAGTAGTATTGTGGAGCAAATCTATCGTCTATAACTTCATTATTGTGATGATTCATGATAATATAAATTTCCCATTATCGACCAATAATTTATCGGCCCTGGTATTTGTATTATCTTGCATCCTTAATTTCAGTTATTGATTAATGTTCTGATTATTTTCACAAGTAATCATTTAGTCTATAAAATGTCCACAGCACAAAATTATGTCTGCTTCCTTTTTCCAACTAACGGTCAAAACCCAAAGACTACTGTCTTAAAAGCAAATCACTACATTTAAGACGGAAGCAGAAAATGCTTACATTTTTGTTTGATAAATCATTAAAACAATGAATTTATTATTTATCAAAATAGTTGGCAATTCAATTTCTTTCTAGCCAGTAATTGGTTAACTGACTAATCACTGCAGCTCTAGTGCCCAGAATGCTGCTTAGACTGTGATGAGAATACCTGAAGCCTGCAGTGCACACACACTTTTACTATAGAGCTGCAACAATTAGTCTATTAATCACTTCATTGATTACTAGTAAATTAATCGCTAACTATTTTCATAATTTCTTACTGTTGTAAACAACAGGTGAGCGGTCATTTCCTACCATAAAACAGAACCCCTGACTCAGGACCATACACACTTACTAACCCTCCTAAAACAGTTATCTCCCACAATATTTCCCAATCAGTCAATAACAGCTCACTCACAGATCTGCACTGAGAGGAGGAGCAACACTGAAAGAGCTTCAGTGACACATTTCCTGGAAATGAAAGTGAAAGTTTGTCTGAAGACAGCAGAGCTGCAGTGGAGACAAGTCTCTCTGTTTGTCTCTGAAGACAAATTCAACTGAATCCATCAGGTTTTTCTCAACTAAACAGCAGAATCTCTGCCAACCTCTGGTGAGTCCACTGCCCTACAGAGCTTGTTACAGTCTGTTATAGCACATACAGATAGAAGGAAGGAGCTAAATCCAACCAAACAATGAAAACACACCACAGAAACTAGTCCTGCTGAAAGCTAACTAGCCTAGCTTAGCTTCCCTTTGGGTTGTGTAAAGGACAGAGTACAGCGTCTGATTTCATCTGAGAGTTTGTTGTATTGCTTATAAAGGTATAACATTGTACTTTTACAACTTATATAACTGTTACACACTTTGGTAATCAGATACAATTACTAATTACCTGTTATAAAATGTAGTCACTAACCTAATCCAAGTTTCACCATATTAAAGTAAGACAACTTTATTACCTCCCATTAGTTTTGGATTACCTCAACATCAAATATGTAAATAAAAGTAAAAGAAATATCAATCAGAACCGAGATCAGTTGTGTCTCCTGTGTCAGGATTCTGAGGGGGAACCCAGAAGCAGATCGGACAAGAGGTAGAGTGTAAACAGTTTATTAGACCAAATTAGTGACAAAAGGGGGAGCTGGCAGGCGAGAGTGGGAGTCCAGAGATGGGGGTGATCCAGACAGTGGCTGGCTGGCAGGCTTGGAGTGTGGGGATCCAGTGGCTGGCTTACAGGAGGCTTGGGCTGAGTGGACTGGGTTCCAGGGCTGAGTTCCAGGAATGATTGCTGAGGCAGAGAGACACGGTTAGTTACGGACAAAAACAGACGACAAGAGATTGGCTCAAGCAGGCAGAAGCAGACAGGCAACTAACGGTAGCAACGATAAATAACTGGCTGGAAAGCAGTAGGATACTCAATACTTCACAACAATCTGGTGTTGACTGGATGTGTGGCTGCTCCTTAAGTACTGCTGAAGATTGATGAGGAGCAGGTGTGGTGATGACCTCAGCCAGGTTTGTGAGCAGCCAGAGATAGACACGCCCCCGAGCACTGCCAGAGTGACACAAACACCACAAGACAACACAAAACACCCGAACGGTCATCACGGCCGGGGATTCATGACATCCTGCTCAGTGTGTTTTTAAAGAAAAACTGATGTATTTTAAAATTGTAATCCTGCTAAACAATTACTATCTTTACTCAATGTAACAGTAACTTAGTGATTTATTTAGTAACTGTAATGGATTACAGTTACAGAGAGAACTTTAAAGTTTGTTTTCTTTTCATCCTCACAGTGTAGATATGTCTGCTGCCAGCTGTCTGCTGACTGAAGATCAGTTTCTGTGCTCCATCTGTCTGGATGTGTTCACTGATCCAGTCACCATACCATGTGGACACAACTTCTGTAAAACCTGCATCACTGAACACTGGAATATTAATGTCCAGTGTCAGTGTCCCAACTGTAAAGAGGTTTTCGACACAAGACCTCATTTGAAGGTCAATACTTTCATCTCTGAGATGGCTGCTCAGTTCAGACAGTCAGCTCAACAGAAAGCCAGCAGCAGCAGCTCAGAGCAACAAGTTTCCAAACCAGGAGAAGTTCCCTGTGACGTCTGCACTGGAACCAAACTGAAGGCCCTGAAGTCCTGCCTGGTGTGTCTGGCCTCCTACTGTGAGACTCACCTGGATCTTCATCTGACAACGTCAGGCCTGAAGAGACATCAGCTGATCGACCCTGTGGAGAACCTGGAAGACAGGATGTGTACGAAGCACGATAAACTGCTGGAGCTATTCTGTAAGACCGACCAGATGTGTGTCTGCATGCTCTGCACTGTTTTAGACCACAAGACACATGATGTTGTTCCTCTGAAAGAAGAATATGAAGGAAAGAAGGCCGAGCTGGGGAAGACAGAGGCTGAAACTCAGCAGATGATCCAGGAGAGACGACTGAAGATTCAGGAGATCAAACGCTCAGTGGAGCTCAGTAAGGAAGGTGCAGACAGAGAGATAGCAGATGGTGTTCAGGTCTTCACCGCTCTGAAGGAGTCAATGGAGAGAAGACAGGTCGAGCTCATTGACACGATCAAAGAGAAGCAGAGAAAGACAGAGAAACAGGCTGAAGGCTTCATCAAAGAGCTGCAACAGGAAATCTCTGAGCTGAAGAAGAGAAGCTCTGAGGTGGACCAGCTCTCACAGTCTGAAGACCACCTCGACCTCCTACAAAGCTTCCTTTCCCTGAACGCTGCTCCACCCACCAAGGACTGGACAGAATTCAGCGTCCGTCCACCTTCATATGAGGGGACTGTGGTGAGAGCTGTGAATCAGCTGGAGGAGACGCTCAGTAAACAGATGAAGAAGTTGTTTGAGGTCGAGCTGAAGAGGGTCCAGCAGTATGCAGTGGATGTGACACTCGATCCTGATACAGCTCATCCTGAACTCATCCTGTCTGATGATGGTAAACAAGTTAATCATGGTGATGTAAAGAAGACTATTCCAGACAATCCAGAGAGATTTGATAATTGTGTTAATGTCTTAGCAAAGCAGAGTTTCTCTTCAGGAAGATTTTATTACGAGGTTCAGGTTAAAGGGAAGACTGACTGGACTTTAGGAGTGGCCAGAGAGTCGATCAACAGGAAGGGACAAATCACACTGAGACCTCAGAATGGTTACTGGATGATATGGTTGAGGAATGAAAATGAGTACAAAGCTCTTGCTGGCCCTTCAGTCAGTCTCTCTCTGAAGTCTCAGCCTGAGAAGGTGGGGGTGTTTGTGGATTATGAGGAGGGTCTGGTCTCCTTTTATGACGTTGATGCTGCAGCTCTTATCTACTCCTTTACTGGCTGCTCCTTCACTGAGAAACTCTACCCATACTTTAGTCCATTTCTTAATAATAAAGGTAAAAACTCTGCCCCTCTGATCATCTCTCCTGTCAATCACACTGAGTAGAACAACCATTTGATTTTCTACAGAAAGATTCACATCATTTAATGAATAAATGTATATTTATTGGTGATGTATGGAATATATATTTTTTTCCTTTTATCATGTAAATGTATTGATATCATATTGTAGCCTCATTTATTCTAATAACTGCATTATCTGCCTTCAAAACTGTAAAATCATCAGAAAACAATGTACTCAGGAATAAGAAGCATTTACACATTCTTTAAATGTCTGAGTGACAAATTCAAACCTTTATATTGTCTGATCATTGTTTATATAAGAATAATTTATACAACATACTGACATAAATTACTGAAGAGCTTTTTTTTAATGACACAAAAGTCTTTTGTTTTTCTCTCTTTTTCTTTTTAAATAAACAAAAGAAAAATAACATTTTTATTGTGTCTGTTCATTTTACACTGTTGAAATATTGTGGTTATAGCGATTGATTACATTACAGTTTGTAAAATTTAAATTCACATGATTAAGATAAAAACTAATTTAGAAATTATAAACCAGAAGTCTCCATCGTCTCTATGTTTTAGAAGGTGGCTCTGATCTACTCCTTTACTGGCTGCTCCTTCACTGAGAAACTCTATCCATGCTTTGGTCCCAGTCTTAATTATGGTGGTACAAACTCTGCCCCTCTGATCATCTCTCCTGTCAATCACACTGAGTAGAACAACCATTTGATTTTCTTCAGAAAGATTCACATCATTTAATGGAATAAATGTATATTTATTGGTGATGTACGGAATATATATATTTTGCTTTTATCATGTAAATGTATTGATATCATATTGTTGCCTCATTTATTCTAATAACTGCATTATCTGCCTTCAAAACTGTAAAATCATCAGAAAACAATGTACTCAGGAATAAGAAGCATTTACACATTCTTTTAATGTCTGGGTGACAAATTCAAACCTTTATATTGTCTGATCATTGTTTATATAAGAAATGTTTTATTCTGAGATAAATTGGGGTTTTTTTTTCTAAATGAGATAAAGGTCTTTTGTTTTTCTCTCTTTTTCTTTTTTAAATAAACAAAATAAAAATAACATTTTTATTGTGTCTGTTCATTCTACACTGTTGAAACATTGTGATTATAATGATTGATTCAAATAAAGTTTATCAAATTTAAATTCATATGATAAAACTTAAAAGTAATTTAGAAATTATAAAACAGAAGTCTCCATCGTCTCCATGTTTTAGGAGGTGGCTCTGATCTACTCCTTTACTGGCTGCTCCCTCACTGAGAAACTCTATCCATACTTTAGTCCCAGTCTGAATGATGGTGGTATACTACTACAACACACCAGTTTTACTGCACTGATTGATATTATCTAATGTAGTCTCATTTATTCTAATAACTGCATTACCTGCCTCCAAGACTGTTCAATCAGTAACAGACAATGTGCTAATAAATAAGAAGCATTTGGATGTTCCTTAAATGTCTGGGTACCACATTCAAACCTTTTTACTATCTGTGTTATTATGTTTTTGGATGTTTTTTGGACTACATTAAAGAGGGAAATATTGTACTTTTTTACTCCACTACATCTGTCTAACAGCTGGATTTGCTGGTTACTTTGCAGATTCACATTTTACATTCAACAGGAAACAAGGATGGTATCTATGTGATATCTTTATGTGTTATGTATTAACATTATAAGGTCAGACCAACTTTATTGTTTGTAAAAGTGCTACAGCCAAAAGGTAGCTTATATATTAGACAATAATCAGTTAGCAGTGAAACAGCGAGCCAATGTAACGTTAGTGTGGCAGAGTTAAGCCTCAATGTCATTCCTGATCGGTGAAATGTGTTTGAAATAATATTCCCACTACTGGGTTCACTTGTTCAGACCTAGGATATTGTACTGCTACTGTGTGGAGTTAAAGTTGATAACTGATAACAACAGGAATAAGAGCTCTGGCTGTTGTACTGTGAGTCCTGTACCTACTTTCTTCCTATTTTCTGCCTTTATTGTAGAGTCACAGCTCTACCGAGCCACATATCCCCATAAACTTAAGTAGCAATGACTTCATGAGCTTCTTCTATAATAAAATTATTACTATTAGAGAAAAAATTAACCACCAACTGCCATCAACAGTTATCAGTGGCTCTCCAAGTTCAGGGACTTCTGCCAATGTAAACTCAGATATATATTTAGACTGTTTTTCTACTATCGATCTTCATCAGTTAACTTCAATCATTTCTTCATCGAAGCCATCAACCTGTCTATTAGACCCGATCCCAACTAGGCTGCTTAAAGAAGTTGTTCCCTTAATTGGCACTTCTTTACTGGATATGATTAATCTTTCTTTATTATCAGGATATGTACCACAGTCCTTTAAAGTAGCTGTAATTAAACCCCTTCTTAAAAAGTCCACTCTTGACCCAGGGGTTTTAGCCAACTATAGACCGATTTCTAACCTCCCCTTCCTCTCTAAGATTCTGGAGAAAGTAGTCGCCAAAGAGTTGTGTGACTTTCTACATAACAATAGTTTATTTGAGGATTTTCAGTCAGGATTTAGAGTTCATCATAGCACAGAGACAGCTCTGGTTAAAGTTAATAATGACCTTCTGACTGCTTCTGACAATGGACTTGTCTCTGTACTTGTATTATTAGATCTTAGTGCTGCATTTGACACCATTGACCATAATATTCTTTTACAGAGACTCGAGCATCAAATTGGCATTAAAGGAACTGCCCTAAGCTGGTTTAAGTCATACTTATCAGATCGTTCTCAGTTTGTACATGTTAACGATGAATCCTCCATAAATACTAAAGTTAGTCATGGAGTTCCACAAGGTTCTGTACTTGGACCAATACTATTTACTTTTTTATATGCTCCCTTTAGGCAACATTATTAGGAATCACTCCATTAACTTTCACTGTTATGCAGATGATACGCAGTTATATCTATCAATCAAACCCAATGAAATTAATCAATTATCTAAATTACAAACATGTCTTAAGGACATAAAATCCTGGATGACCTGTAATTTTCTGATGTTAAACTCAGAAAAAAACGAAATTCTTGTTCTTGGCCCCAAAAACCTTAGAGACTCATTGTCTAAAGATATAGTCACTCTAGATGGCATTAACCTGGCCTCTAGCACCACTGTCAGGAATCTTGGAGTTATCTTTGATCAGGATTTGTCATTTAACTCCCACATAAAGCAGACCTCTAGGACCGCCTTCTTTCATTTACGTAATATTAGAAAAATTAGACACATACTATCACAGACAGATGCAGAAAAACTAATCCATGCATTTGTTACTTCAAGGCTGGATTACTGCAACTCTTTATTATCAGGTTGCCCCAATAAGTCCATTAAAACGCTCCAATTAATTCAGAACGCTGCAGCACGAGTACTGACAGGAACTAGAAAAAGAGATCACATCTCTCCTGTACTAGCTGCTCTGCATTGGCTCCCTATAAAATGTAGAATTGAATTTAAAATCCTCCTCCTCACCTATAAAGCTCTTCATGGTCAGGCCCCTTCATATCTTAAAGAGCTCATAGTACCTTATTACCCCACTAGAACATTACGTTCTCTGAATGCTGGGCTACTTGTGGTTCCTATAGTCTCTAAAAGTAGAACAGGAGCCAGAGCCTTCAGTTACCAAGCTCCTCTCCTGTGGAACCAGCTTCCAGTTGTGGTTCGGGAGGCAGACACCCTCACCACATTCAAGAGTAGGCTTAAGACATTCCTCTTTGATAAAGCTTATAGTTAGGGCTGGATCAGGTGAGTCCTGAACCATCCCTTAGTTATGCTGCTATAGGCCTAGACTATCGGGGGATTTCCCATGGTGCACTGAGCTCCTCTCTTCCTCTCTCTTTCTGCACTCATTCATGTCCCATTACTGCATGTTACTAACTCCACTTCTTCCCCGGAGTTCTTGTGCTTTCTCGTCTCGCAGGTTCTCATGGATCCTGGTGGAGCCTCCTGCCATGGTCCTGCTTGACGGCCATTGCCAATAGTGTTGTTGCTGTGCACCCGTATGTCTGTCTGTCTCTCTCTCTCTCTCTCTCTCTCTCTCTCTCTCTCTCTCTCTCTCTCTCTCTCTCTCCCTCTCACCCCAACTGGTCGAGACAGACGACCACCCACCTAGAGCCGGAGGATCTGTCCTAGGTTTCTGCCTTTTAACAGGCAGTTTTTCCTTGCCCTTGTCGCCAAGTGCTTGCTCATGGTGGTACTGTTGGGTCTCTGTAAATAATGTTAAAGAGTTCGGTCTAGACCTGCTCTATTTGAAAAGTGTCCTGAGATAACTTCTGTTATGAATTGGCGCTATACAAATAAAATTGAATTGAATTGAATTGAATTGAATTTATTTTTCACTCCAACTGTCAGCTGCAGTTCCATAAAGTCACCAGCAGGTGTCAGCCTATGAGCAGTGTATGGGAGGAGGGTGCTGTTGTAGTCTGAACATTGACAGTATGCTGTATATTAGAGTCTGACTGCAGATTAATACAACACTTTTAAATGCACAGTGAATTGCCCAAACCTCTTGGCTGTATAATATATGCTGGTGGTGGACTGTGTTGGTGTTTTCCTTTCATTGTTATGTTGGAGAAAAAAATAAAAAACTTCCCAACTCAGCTCTGACTCTGTGTCCAGTATGAGATGCTACAATATGAACAGTAAAACTAACAAAGAAATCATGCATGGAAATAAAAGTGATCATTATAAATCCTGTTTTCTTAGACACACTGTTGGTTTTCCAGCAGTATAAAGTAATTAAGGCCTACTACTCTCTCTGAGTGAGGAGATTTTTATAAAATGAACAATTGTAATTTCACTTAAGAGTTCATTGAAAGAAATATTTTACTTTATTACTTTTGAAACCTCAGAATCACAGAGAAGCCTACTTGTGGCCCAGTGACAAAAGTTTTCCCTCTCAGTGTTTCTGTATTTTTTCCTGTAATGTGATCAGTAAGAAATCTGTCACATAAAGAAAAGATGGTAAACAGTTTGGAAAGCAGCAGAAAGTGAAATTACAGAGTAAACAGTGAGCTGAACATTGGAGTGTTTGTGGGATTGTAGAGGGACTGTAAAGGGAGCGTTGTAGAATATTGATCTAAAGATACAGTATGTTCCTGAATATCTTACACTGACCTCTTTTCTTATGTTGTCTGTTTGTTATTGTATGATCCTTTGCCTGCTGTAAACTAACACTGTAGGGGAAAAAAGGGTACGAAGATATTTCCCAATCAGTCAATAACAGCTCACTCACAGATCTGCACTGAGAGGAGGAGCAACACTGAAAGAGCTTCAGTGACACATTTCCTGGAAATGAAAGTGAAAGTTTGTCTGAAGACAGCAGAGCTGCAGTGGAGACAAGTCTCTCTGTTTGTCTCTGAAGACAAATTCAACTGAATCCATCAGGTTTTTCTCAACTAAACAGCAGAATCTCTGCCAAACTCTGGTGAGTCCACTGCCCTACAAAGAGAAAATGCACTTACTAAATATTTGGTCAAACTTGAGTTAAGTGTTTGTTTTATTTAATTAATAATTTTTAGAAGGAGGATATGGGGAACTATATCTAAATTTCATCTACAGCCTTGTTGTGAATAACAAATAACCATGAAACCTTGAAATTGAGTTAAAACCAGAATCTGCCTTTGTTTCATCTGTTTTAGAAATATGTATGTCAGTGTGTCATTTTCAATAAAAAACATAAAGTACAAAACAGACTTAAATACCATATCACAGCGACTGCACTCTGGCTAGTTAAGGTTATGTCTCTAACCATTTTAATGTTCCAGCATCTTAATAAATTGGTTTGTCATTGGTCATATCCTGTAAAAGGCAGTAGCTACATCCAACCATAACAAAGAAAACAAGTAATACCAGATAAACTAGTTCTGTTCAGATGTCCTTTGGATTATCCAAAGTACTGATCACATCACCCTGCCCTGTTCTGGGTGTGCTCTAACATACCCCTGACTGAGCACTGAGGGCAATCCAAGTGGAAAATAAAAATACAAGATTATCAGACAGACTCCTACATCCACACATACAGCAGTTTTTCTTCTAGAAGTTTAAATCAACATTTAAGGTTTGCAGAAATTATAATGTGGAAATAAGCTGCAATATTAAAATTGTAAAAAAAAAGTCTTTTAAAAAATATCTTCATATAAATATCTTAATATCTTCAGTAGTATGATATTATTTAATGTGTGATGTGACAGTAATGGAGGGATCAGGGGTTTAGGATGTTGTCACTGTTTTATTTTTACTATTATTTGAATAACTAACAAGCAGCTAATAGCCAAAAGCTACAGTCATATAAGTGACTGGCAGCAGGCAGGGATTGCTAGAAGGATTGATGATTGGGGTTGGTTACCATGACAACTAATTAATGTGGGCTGAGATAACCCCTGGGGAAATGTGGTTATACCTCTGTATATTTTGTGTGTATTTGGTTAGTCTTTTCTGTATTTTTTTGAGTAATACTCTCAGGATAATAATTGTATACATGGCAGCCAAAGTAAATGTTTTGGAATAAAAATCACCATGTTATCACTTATTTTCTGAGCTTGGTGAAATCATAGAAATACCACCACTGAACTGCACATCTGAGCTGTTCAGACTTGGAGCGGAGTCCAGGACCTGACTGTGAAATAATTTGGAATAATTTGCTATTCCACTGAATTGGTGCCTTTTCCGTCCTTAGGACATTATTTGCATAAATGTATGAAAGTGTTTTAGTATAAGACATTTTATTATTAAGGAAAGTGCTTGCACCTTGTTCTAATAGCAATTTGTGTAAAACTTTACTAAAAAATACCCAGAACACTAAACAAATAGGATTTTAGCCCATCCCCACTCTCTAACTCTACACCTCACCATGAAAATGAAATGTATTGATTCAGGTAAAAATATCGATATGGCAATATATCGCGATACTTTGCCGCCCGATACAATATACACGGCACGTACGACCCGCAAAACAAAGATGGCAGCGCCCATATTGAGATGTATTTTCTTTGTATTTGTGCTACGTTGGTCGTTTTAATGTTGATTTCAGATGCTCCTATACACATTGCTGCTTTAGTCCGGACACCAATTTATGCATTGCACGGTGTTGCTGTGCGTGCAATACAATGTAAAGTTTTGTTTTCGAGCTGGTTTGCTCAATAGGCTAATGTAGCTAACAATAACACTAGCCTGCCACTGCCCCTGGAGGCCCCTGGTGGCCCCTGGTGGCCCCTGGTGGCCCCTGGAGGCCCATGGTGGCTCGAGAAAAACGATACAGCACTTGTTGAAATTGAAATAGGCGAAAATGGAAAATATTATTGAAATGTAAGACTTGCAATAACGGAATTATTTGAAATGTTAGTGTTTCTGTAAAAAAACATTATTTCACATTGAGCTTGTTTAGATGAGCCACAAGCAATAACAAGACAGCTGCTGCACAGGTGGCGTCCATGTTCTGTTAAATTAATGAAAGGAAATTAATAATTAATAAATTACTAAAATATATAACAATAAAATGGAGAGGTTGTTTTGAATGAAATAGCTTTGACTCAATTTGTCCTCTGATCAGTATCATCTGATGTACATATACAGGTACTTGTGTTTTCATCTCTATTTATATCGCTCGTTCTTGCCAATACTCACTCCTACTTACAACATACATTTTAACAAAATAATGAAAAACTACAGCTCATATTTTGATTTTGTTATAATCAAAAGAAATGTGATTACAGTTTTGTTTTCTTTTTATCCTCACGGTGTAGATATGTCTGCTGCCAGCTGTCTGCTGACTGAAGATCAGTTTCTGTGCTCCATCTGTCTGGATGTGTTCACTGATCCAGTCACCATACCATGTGGACACAACTTCTGTAAAACCTGCATCACTGAACACTGGAATATTAATGTCCAGTGTCAGTGCCCCAACTGTAAAGAGGTTTTCGACACAAGACCTCAGCTGAAGGTCAATACTTTCATCTCTGAGATGGCTGCTCAGTTCAGACAGTCAGCTCAACAGAAAGCCAGCAGCAGCAGCTCAGAGCAACAAGTTTCCAAACCAGGAGAAGTTCCCTGTGACGTCTGCACTGGAACCAAACTGAAGGCCCTGAAGTCCTGCCTGGTGTGTCTGGTCTCCTACTGTGAGACTCACCTGGAGCCTCATCTGACAACATCAGGCCTGAAGAGACATCAGCTGATCGACCCTGTGGAGAACCTGGAAGACAGGATGTGTACGAAGCACGATAAACTGCTGGAGCTGTTCTGTAAGACCGACCAGATGTGTGTCTGCATGCTCTGCACTGTTTTAGACCACAAGACACATGATGTTGTTCCTCTGAAAGAAGAATATGAAGGAAAGAAGGCCGAGCTGGGGAAGACAGAGGCTGAAATTCAGCAGATGATCCAGAAGAGACGACTGAAGATTCAGGAGATCAAACACTCAGTGGAGCTCAGTAAGGAAGGTGCAGACAGAGAGATAGCAGATGGTGTTCAGGTTTTCACCGCTCTGAAGGAGTATGTTGAGAGAAGACAGGCCGAGCTCATCAACACGATCAAAGAGAAGAAGAGAAAGACAGAGAAACAGGCTGAAGACTTCATCAAAGAGCTGGAACAGGAAATCTCTGAGCTGAAGAAGAGAAGCTCTGAGGTGGACCAGCTCTCACAGTCTGAAGACCACCTCCACCTCCTCCAAAGCTTCCTGTCCCTGAACGCTGCTCCACCCACCAAGGACTGGACAGAAGTCAGCGTCCGTCCACTTTCACATGAGGGGACTGTGAGGAGAGCTGTGAATCAGCTGGAGGAGACGCTCAGTAAACAGATGAAGAAGCTGATTGAGGTCGAGCTGAAGAGGGTCCAGCAGTATGCAGTGGATGTGACACTTGATCCTGATACAGCACATCCTGATCTCATCCTGTCTGATGATGGAAAAGAAGTGTATGATAGTGATATAAAGAAGAATCTACCAGACAATCCAGAGAGATTTGATAGTTGTACTAATGTCTTAGCAAAGCAGAGTTTCTCTTCAGGAAGATTTTATTACGAGGCTCAGGTTAAAGGGAAGACTGAATGGGATTTAGGAGTGGTCAGAGAGTCGATCAACAGGAAGGGACAAATCACACTGAGCCCTCAGAATGGTTACTGGACGATATGGTTGAGGAATGAAACTGAGTACAAAGCTCTTGCTGGCCCTTCAGTCTGTCTCTCTCTGCAGTCTCAGCCTGAGAAGGTGGGGGTGTTTGTGGATTATGAGGAGGGTCTGGTCTCCTTTTATGACGTTGATGCTGCAGCTCTTATCTACTCCTTTACTGGCTGCTCCTTCACTGAGAAACTCTACCCATACTTTGGTCCCGGTCTTAATGATGGTGAAAACTCTGCCCCTCTGATCATCTCTCCTGTCAATCACACTGAGTAGAACAACCATTTGATTTTCTACAGAAAGATTCATATCATTTTCTCTTGTGTCTGTTCATTCTACACTGTTGAAATGTTGTGATTATAATGATTCAAATACAGTTTATCAAATTTAAATTCATATGATAAAACTTAAAAGTAAGTTAGAAATTATAAACCAGTAGTCTCCATCGTCTCCATCGTCTCCATGTTTTAGGAGGTGGCTCTGATCTACTCCTTTACTGGCTGCTCCCTCACTGAGAAACTCTATCCATACTTTAGTCCCAGTCTGAATGATGGTGGTATACTACTACAACACACCAGTTTTACTGCACTGATTGATATTATCTAATGTAGTCTCATTTATTCTAATAACTGCATTAGCTGCCTCCAAGACTGTTCAATCAGTAACAGACAATGTGCTAATAAATAAGAAGCATTTGGATGTTCCTTTAATGTCTGGGTAACACATTCAAACCTTTTTACTATCTGTGTTATTATGTTTTTGGATGTTTTTTGGACTACATTAAAGAGGGAAATATTGTACTTTTTACTCCACTACATCTGTCTAACAGCTGGATTTGCTGGTTACTTTTCAGATTCACATTTTACATTCTACAGGAAACAAGGATGGTATCTATGTGATATCTTCATATGAACTTCTTTCATTTTATGTGGAAGGAGGAATTTATTAGAGTCTGACCAAATTTGTTGTTCAGGGAAGTTTAGTTTCCATAAAAGAGTTGATTTGGGAGAATTACTGTGATCTGATCTCAGAATTTTAATAAACAACCGAACAGTGACAGTGGTGTCGATCTCAGTTGTTAAAGTTATAAATCATCAAGCCTGAGGACAAATACAACATAACCAACAGAATAGATAAAGGAATGAGGAACGCTTCACCTGCGGGAGAGAGTTAGTCACCATACCTGTGTTTCACATAAATGGTCCCGCCTATCGATTTCAGAGGCTACTATTGGCTCATGTACAAATGGAACAGGCCAATGGGGTTGTCTTGACCCGCTCCCATTGGTCTGTTTCATTTAGGTTCTGTGCTGTGATTGGACAGCTCGCCGCATGACCCGCCCACCCCACAGCCAGGTTCAGTGTCATTATCATTGTATTAACATTATAAGGTCAGACCATCTTTATTGTTTGTAAAAGTGCTACAGCCAAAAGGTAGCTTATATATTAGACAATAATCAGTTAGCAGTGAAACAGCGAGCCAATGTAACGTTAGTGTGGCAGAGTTAAGCCTCAATGTCATTCCTGATCGGTGAAATGTGTTTGAAATAATATTCCCACTACTGGGTTCACTTGTTCAGACCTAGGATATTGTACTGCTACTGTGTGGAGTTAAAGTTGATAACTGATAACAACAGGAATAAGAGCTCTGGCTGTTGTACTGTGAGTCCTGTACCTACTTTCTTCCTATTTTCTGCCTTTATTTTCACTCCAACTGTCAGCTGCAGTTCCATACAGTCACCAGCAGGTGTCAGCCTATGAGCAGTGTATGGGAGGAGGGGTGCTGTTGTAGTCTGAACATTGACAGTATGCTGTATATTAGAGTCTGACTGCAGATTAATACAACACTTTTAAATGCACAGTGAATTGCCGGAACCTCTTGGCTGTATAATATATGCTGGTGGTGGACTGTGTTGGTGTTTTCCTTTCATTGTTATGTTGGAGAAAAAAATAAAAAACTTCCCAACTCAGCTCTGACTCTGTGTCCAGTATGAGATGCTACAATATGAACAGTAAAACTAACAAAGAAATCATGCATGGAAATAAAAGTGATCATTATAAATCCTGTTTTCTTAGACACACTGTTGGTTTTCCAGCAGTATAAAGTAATTAAGGCCTACTACTCTCTCTGAGTGAGGAGATTTTTATAAAATGAACAATTGTAATTTCACTTAAGAGTTCTTTGAAAGAAATATTTTACTTTACTACTTTTGAAACCTCAGAATCACAGAGAAGCCTACTTGTGGCCCAGTGACAAAAGTTTTCCCTCTCAGTGTTTCTGTATTTTTTCCTGTAATGTGATCAGTAAGAAATCTGTCACATAAAGAAAAGATGGTAAACAGTTTGGAAAGCAGCAGAAAGTGAAATTACAGAGTAAACAGTGAGCTGAACATTGGAGTGTTTGTGGGATTGTAGAGGGACTGTAAAGGGAGCGTTGTAGAATATTGATCTAAAGATACAGTATGTTCCTGAATATCTTACACTGACCTCTTTTCTTATGTTGTCTGTTTGTTATTGTATGATCCTTTGGCTGCTGTAGACTGACACTGTAGTAAAAACCCATCTTGTTCCAAAGATATTTCCCAATCAGTCAATAACAGCTCACTCACAGATCTGCACTGAGAGGAGGAGCAACACTGAAAGAGCTTCAGTGACACATTTCCTGGAAATGAAAGTGAAAGTTTGTCTGAAGACAGCAGAGCTGCAGTGGAGACAAGTCTCTCTGTTTGTCTCTGAAGACAAATTCAACTGAATCCATCAGGTTTTTCTCAACTAAACAGCAGAATCTCTGCCAACCTCTGGTGAGTCCACTGCCCTACAGAGCTTGTTACAGTCTGTTATAGCACATACAGATAGAAGGAAGGAGCTAAATCCAACCAAACAATGAAAACACACCACAGAAACTAGTCCTGCTGAAAGCTAACTAGCCTAGCTTAGCTTCCCTTTGGGTTGTGTAAAGGACAGAGTACAGCGTCTGATTTCATCTGAGAGTTTGTTGTATTGCTTATAAAGGTATAACATTGTACTTTTACAACTTATATAACTGTTACACACTTTGGTAAGTATCCTTAAACCTCTCGTCTTCAGTGTTTCTGTAGTTCCTGCTGTCTGTCTCTGGGAGGCAGTACAGCTGATAATATTTACTGTGTTTCAACAACCGGTATTAACACAAAACCTGAGCTCTACTCAGACAGGAAGTTCCACTCAGGGCCGTAGCCAGGGCCAATATTTACCTGAGGTCCATCTGTGGCCGTGGGGGTTGTGGAGAGAAATAGTTCCAGTTTCCTGCAGTGCAGAGCAGCAGCTTCCATCTTTTCTTCTGCTCATTTAATGTGTGTGATTCTCTGCTGTCTGTATCTTCATCCTCTCTCTCTGTCCCTCCTCTTCCTCCTCTTTGTCCAAGCTGACTCTCTGACACTAAAGGTCTTTGGACAGAGGAGGTGATCTTTCTTCTGCTCGACTCCCTCAGACGCTTCAATAAAACTAATAATAAAGACAAATACTGTCCAAATTAATCAAAGTAAATTGTAAAAAACATGTTAAGTTATTAAAAAAAGATCTTCTTATCAATATCTTAATATCTTCAGTAGTATGATATTATTTAATGTGTGATGTGACAGTAATGGAGGGATCAGGGCTTTGGGATGTTGTCACTGTTTTATTTTTACTTTTTTACTATTATTTGAATAACTAACAAGCAGCTAATAGCCAAAAGCTACAGTCATATAAGTGACTGGCAGCAGGCAGGGATTGCTAGAAGGATTGATGATTGGGGTTGGTTACCATGACAACTTATCACTGTTGGCCGAAATAACCCCTGGAGAAATGTGGTTATACCTCTGTATATGTTGTGTGACATGTAATAAGTAATCTAAGTGTTTCAGTATGAGACATTTTATTATTAAGGAAAGTGTCTTGCACTTTGTTCTAATTGCAATTTGTGTAAATCTTTACTAAAAAATACCCAGAACACTGAACAAATAGGATTTTAGCCCATCCCCACTCTCTAACTCTACACCTCACCATGACATGTATTGATTATAATTAATGATGAAATATTTCTTTCTATTATTGTGTGACTTCACAACATTTTAGTTCAAATAGATATTTTAATCGTGTTACCCTGACCCGACTCTAAACATTTGGGACATTTCACAGGTCACATGATCAATTAGAAGTAGCATCAATTTAGTGTTGTGATGACCAAAAGTCATTTCTCTGACTTTATTTTCTGTATTTTTGATCATATTGTAAGTATAACCGAGACTGTCAATCTCAATGTTCACTCCTGTTACCTAAATTATTTCTTAGATGTTCCTGAAGGTGCTCAGTGTTCTCATGTTATTAGCATTAATGCTACGTGGCTACATTTCATGTATTCACTAAATACTTTTTACTAAAAGAAATGTAATTATAGTTTTCTTTTCTTTTTATCCTCACAGTGTAGATATGTCTGCTGCCAGCTGTCTGCTGACTGAAGATCAGTTTCTGTGCTCCATCTGTCTGGATGTGTTCACTGATCCAGTCACCATACCATGTGGACACAACTTCTGTAAAACCTGCATCACTGAACACTGGAATATTAATGTCCAGTGTCAGTGTCCCAACTGTAACAAGGTTTACAGCACAAGACCTGAGCTGAAGGTCAATACTTTCATCTCTGAGATGGCTGCTCAGTTCAGACAGTCAGCTCAGCAGAAAGCCAGCAGCAGCAGCTCAGAGCAACAAGTTTCCAAACCAGGAGAAGTTCCCTGTGACGTCTGCACTGGAACCAAACTGAAGGCCCTGAAGTCCTGCCTGGTGTGTCTGGTCTCCTACTGTGAGACTCACCTGGAGCCTCATCTGACAATGTCAGGCCTGAAAAGACATCAGCTGATCGACCCTGTGGAGAACCTGGAAGACAGGATGTGTACGAAGCACGATAAACTGCTGGAGCTGTTCTGTAAGACCGACCAGATGTGTGTCTGCATGCTCTGCACTGTTTTAGACCACAAGACACATGATGTTGTTCCTCTGAAAGAAGAATATGAAGGAAAGAAGGCCGAGCTGGGGAAGATAGAGGCTGAAATTCAGCAGATGATCCAGAAGAGACGACTGAAGATTCAGGAGATCAAACGCTCAGTGGAGCTCAGTAAGGAAGGTGCAGACAGAGAGATAGCAGGTGGTGTTCAGGTTTTCACCGCTCTGAAGGAGTATGTTGAGAGAAGACAGGCCGAGCTCATCAACACGATCAAAGAGAAGCAGAGAAAGACAGAGAAACAGGCTGAAGACTTCATCAAAGAGCTGGAACAGGAAATCTCTGAGCTGAAGAAGAGAAGCTCTGAGGTGGACCAGCTCTCACAGTCTGAAGACCACCTCGACCTCCTCCAAAGCTTCCTGTCCCTGAACACTGCTCCAACCACTAAGGACTGGACAGAAGTCAGCGTCCGTCCACCTTCATATGAGGGGACTGTGGTGAGAGCTGTGAATGAGCTGGAGGAGACGCTCAGTAAACAGATGAAGAAGCTGATTGAGGTGGAGGTGAAGAGGGTCCAGCAGTATGCAGTGGATGTGACACTAGATCCTGATACAGCACATCCTGATCTCATCCTGTCTGATGATGGAAAAGAAGTGTATGATAGTGATGTAAAGAAGAATCTACCAGACAATCCACAGAGATTTGATACTTGTCCCTGTGTCTTAGCAAAGCAGAGTTTCTCTTCAGGAAGATTTTATTACGAGGTTCAGGTTAAAGGGAAGACTGAATGGGATTTAGGAGTGGCCAGAGAGTCGATCAACAGGAAGGGAGACATCACAGCGAGTCCTCAGAATGGTTACTGGACGATATGTTTGATGAATGAAAATGAGTACAAAGCTGCTGCTGGCCCTGCAGTCTGTCTCTCTCTGCAGTCTCAGCCTGAGAAGGTGGGGGTGTTTGTAGATTATGAGGAGGGTCTGGTCTCCTTTTATGATGTTGATGCTGCAGCTCTGATCTACTCCTTTACTGGCTGCTCCTTCACTGAGAAACTCTACCCATACTTTAGTCCCAGTCTTAATTATGGTGGTACAAACTCTGCCCCTCTGATCATCTCTCCTGTCAATCACACTGAGTAGAACAACCATTTGATTTTCTTCATAAAGATTCACATAATTTAATGGAATAAATGTATATTTATTGGTGATGTATGGAATATATATTTTTTTTCCTTTTATCATGTAAATGTATTGATATCATATTGCAGCCTCATTTATTCTAATAACTGCATTATCTGCCTTCAAAACTGTAAAATCATCAGAAAACAATGTACTCAGGAATAAGAAGCATTTACACATTCTTTAAATGTCTGAGTGACAAATTCAAACCTTTATATTGTCTGATCATTGTTTATATAAGAAATGTTTACATGTATCCCTGGGCTGGTTAAGGGACAGTTTGGCTGCCTATCAGAGAGCTCTAAAGGAAGCCAAGTCAAAATATTTGTCTTCCATTATAGCTAACAGCTCTCATCATCCAAGACTGCTATTTAATACTATTGATTCTGTCGTTAATCCACGCCCTACTGTCCTGTCTGATGCCTCCACTGCAACCTGTGAAGAGTTTGTGTTTTTTTTCACTGATAAAGTGGCATCTGTCAGGCAGAATATCTGTAATATGAATATGTCTCTTGATGATGTCTGTGCTCCTTCGGCACAGACTGCTGTCTTCGAGCGGTTTGAGACCATTTCTCTGTCTTCTTTTACTAAGGTGGTTAGTGGCATGAAACCCACAAACTGTCCCTTAGATATTATTCCAGTCAAGTTTTTGAAGGAGGTTCTGAGTTCTGTTGGGTAAAGTCTGCTTGTTTCTATAAACACTTGTCTTAGCTCAGGGTCTGTTCCAGCTGCCTTCAAACACGCTATGGTTAGGCCCCTCCTAAAAAAAACGCATCTTGACCCCTCTGTGCTCTCCAATTTTAGACCTGTCTCCCACTTGCCTTTTCTTTCCAAGGTTTTAGAAAAAGTTGTTTTTATTCAATTACAGACATTTTTGGAGATCAATTCTATTTTTGATAAATTTCAGTCTGGTTTTAGATCCCGACATAGCACCGAGTCAGCACTGTTAAAGGTGCACAATGATATTGCCTTGTCTGTGGATGCTGGGAATCCTGCTGTGCTTGTGCTGCTGGACCTCACAGCAGCCTTTGATACAGTCGACCATGCAGTCCTTGTATCTCGCTTAGAGCAGCACGTTGGCATCCGTGGCACCGCTCTCCAGTGGTTTAGGTCATACCTGGCAAACAGGAGTTTCTCTGTCTCAATTGGTGACCACTGCTCCTCAAATGCATCGCTGCCCTGTGGGGTGCCACAGGGATCTATTCTCGGCCCTATTCTGTTTTCATTGTATATGCTACCTCTGGGATCAATTATAAAAAAACACAACCTGTCTTTTCACTTTTATGCCAATGATTTGCAGATATATTTGCCCATGACACCAAACGAAAACACTGCACTTACTAAACTGCTGGACTGCATCACAGATATAAAACAGTGGCTGTCACAGAACTTTTTGCACTTAAATGACAGCAAAACTGAATGCATTTTGTTTGGTTCACCAGCTAAGTCGAATGCTCTCACCACAAATTCTGGCACTGTGGCCCCTCTTTTTAAATCACATGTCAAAAATCTTGGGGTAACATTTGATACTGGGCTCAAATTTGACAAACAGATTAGCTCGGTTGTCAGTACGAGCTTTTTTCAGCTCCGTCTTTTGGCCAAAGTGAAGTCTTTTCTCAGTCGGCAGGATCTTGAGAAGGCAATCCATGCTTTCATCAGCTCAAGACTGGACTACTGTAATGCCCTTTACGTCGGCCTCAGTCAGTCCTCAATTTCTCGTCTCCAACTTGTGCAGAACGCTGCTGCCCGATTTTTAACTAGCACGTCCAGACGCGAACATATTACTCCTGTGCTGTCGTCACTCCACTGGCTTCCAGTCCGTTTTAGAATTGATTTTAAACTTTTGTTGTTTGTTTTTAACACCATTAACGGCTCGGCCCCCTCTTACTTGTCAGAGATTTTAACTTTTCGCAATTGTGGCAGAGCCTTGCGCTCTTCAGGTCAGCTTCTGTTAGAAGTCCCTAGGTCCAGACTTAAACAGTGGGGCGATCGTTCTTTTGCTGTCGCTGCTCCTAGACTGTGGAACAAACTGCCCCCTGACATTCGCACCACTACTGATCTCGGCCTTTTTAAATCGAAGCTTAAGACCCACTTTTTTAGATTAGCTTTTAATTCTGAAAAGGACAGTACTGTCTCTTAGGTGTACTCTTTTTATCTGCTCCTTTCTGTGCATTTCTGGAAGGCTTTTAATACCCTGCAGTGCTGCAGCACTTTAAATTGTATTTGTATGTTATATATGTGTTATGTACTGTTTCATGGCTCTGTTGTAAAGCACTTTGGGTACCTTTCGGCTATTGTAAAGGGCTATACAAATAAACTTGATTTGATTTGATTTGATGTTTTATACTGAGATAAATTGTTTTTTTTTTTCTAAATGAGATAAAGGTCTTTTGTTTTTCTCTCTTTTTCTTTTTAAATAAACAAAATAAAAATAACATTTTTATTGTGTCTGTTCATTCTACACTGTTGAAATGTCGTGATTATAATGATTTAAATACAGTTTATCAAATTTAAATTCATATGATAAAACTTAAAAGTAATTTAGAAATTATAAACCAGAAGTCTCCATCGTCTCCATGTTTTAGAAGGTGGCTCTGATCTACTCCTTTACTGGCTGCTCCCTCACTGAGAAACTCTATCCATACTTTAGTCCCAGTCTGAATGATGGTGGTATACTACTACACACCAGTTTTACTGCACTGATTGATATTATCTAATGTAGTCTCATTTATTCTAATAACTGCATTAGCTGCCTCCAAGACTGTTCAATCAGTAACAGACAATGTGCTAATAAATAAGAAGCATTTGGATGTTCCTTAAATGTCTGGGTACCACATTCAAACCTTTTTACTATCTGTGTTATTATGTTTTTGGATGTTTTTTGGACTACATTAAAGAGGGAAATATTGTACTTTTTACTCCACTACATCTGTCTAACAGCTGGATTTGCTGGTTACTTTGCAGATTCACATTTTACATTCAACAGGAAACAAGGATGGTATCTATGTGATATCTTCATGTGAACTTCTTTCATTTTATGTGGAATGAGGAATTTATTAGAGTCTGACCTAATGTGTTGTTCAGGGAAGTTTAGTTTCCATAAAAGAGTTGATTTGGGAGAATTACTGTGATCTGAGCTCAGAATTTTAATAAACAACCGAACAGTGACAGTGGTGTCGATCTCAGTTGTTAAAGTTATAAATCATCAAGCCTGAGGACAAATACAACATAACCAACAGAATAGATAAAGGAATGAGGAATGCTTCACCTACGGGAGAGAGTTAGTCACCATACCTGTGTTTCACATAAATGGTCCCGCCTATCGATTTCAGAGGCTACTATTGGCTCATGTACAAATGGAACAGGCCAATGGGGTTGTCTTGACCCGCTCCCATTGGTCTGTTTCATTTAGGTTCTGTGCTGTGATTGGACAGCTCGCCGCATGACCCGCCCACCCCACAGCCAGGTTCAGTGTCATTATCATTGTATTAACATTATAAGGTCAGACCAACTTTATTGTTTGTAAAAGTGCTACAGCCAAAAGGTAGCTTATATATTAGACAATAATCAGTTAGCAGTGAAACAGCGAGCCAATGTAATGTTAGTGTGGCAGAGTTAAGCCTCAATGTCATTCCTGATCGGTGAAATGTGTTTGAAATAATATTCCCACTACTGGGTTCACTTGTTGAGACCTAGGATATTGTACTGCTACTGTGTGGAGTTAAAGTTGATAACTGATAACAACAGGAATAAGAGCTCTGGCTGTTGTACTGTGAGTCCTGTACCTACTTTCTTCCTATTTTCTGCCTTTATTTTCACTCCAACTGTCAGCTGCAGTTCCATAAAGTCACCAGCAGGTGTCAGCCTATGAGCAGTGTATGGGAGGAGGGTGCTGTTGTAGTCTGAACATTGACAGTATGCTGTATATTAGAGTCTGACTGCAGATTAATACAACACTTTTAAATGCACAGTGAATTGCCCAAACCTCTTGGCTGTATAATATATGCTGGTGGTGGACTGTGTTGGTGTTTTCCTTTCATTGTTATGTTGGAGAAAAAAATAAAAAACTTCCCAACTCAGCTCTGACTCTGTGTCCAGTATGAGATGCTTCACTATGCACAGTAAAATATAACTTGTAATTTCACTTAAGAGTTCTTTGAAAGAAATATTTTACTTTATTACTTTTGAAACCTCAGAATCACAGAGAAGCCTACTTGTGGCCCAGTGACAAAAGTTTTCCCTCTCAGTGTTTCTGTATTTTTTCCTGTAATGTGATGTAAATGAGACAAAAGTAAATGGCTTTAAAATAAAATAAAATTTATTGTGTCTGATTCATTTATTTAGTTTTTGGTCACATCTGAGACCGTTGGTAGTGTCAGATAATATTAATTTATTTTAATGTAGATTTTTACTTCATTGTCTCTGTGTAAATGTTTCATGTCTCTAATATAGTAGTTGCAGCTAAAGATTAATAATAAACTGAAAGTCTCCCTCGTCCCAATGTTTTAGGAGATTAAATGTTTTCTATTAATTTGATGGAACACGATTATTATTATTATTATTTGGCATCACTGCACGCCTTCCAAACATCAAGACTGCTGCAAATCACACATGACAGATGTAACAAAACAACGTAACAAGACGAAACAGACAACTGACAGATCCTATTTGAGGTTTGAGCTCAAACTGTTGCTAACTTTCCTCCAGAGAAACTAAGAGAGAACTTTTTCCTGTTATTACTATGAGAACATTTCAGAGCCTGTACTTTATTTTCTTTTACTTAAAAGAAGTTGAATCAGTACTTTTACTATTCTTTATATATATAGAAATGATCTAAACAAGGTTACAAAGCGCTGTGACAAAATATATAAGATAAAAACAAAGAAAGAACAAAGTATAAACATAAGTAACCAAACAAAACACAGTTACGATACGAGAATAAAATAAAATAAAACAATCATGATATTAATACTAATTAATATATATATTAATATATATATATATATATATATATTTTTCTTTTTTTAATTGAACAAATTAAATGTCCAAAACTACAAGGTATACAATGACAATCAGCACATTGGTGAGTGACATAAATAACAAATCAAAGATACACAAATTAAAGTACAAATTTAAAATAATAATAATAATAATTAAAATGAATAAATAAATAAAAAATAAATAGTTCAAACAGGGGCTTCAGGGAAAAACTTTTCATAATGACTCAGCAAGGTATTATTTTTTTGTTATTTAAAGGGGAACTTCGGCAGATTTTTACCCTCGTCTTGATCACTAGAGGTCACCGAGTACTGTCGATAGGAAACCAGAATTGGTTCTAGCAAACTGGAGATGCTGCAGCTAATGGCCAGAGCTCCCAGTTAGTTATAATACACTTTTTGGGGGCATATCCTAAAGAGTGCCTTTTGCTCCTCTTAACAGACACAAAATGCAATTAAAATGTCTTACGTGACAACAACATGCCTTTTCAACTCATACGTTGTGCAGAAACCGTACAACCTGTTTTTCCACCGCTCGCTTCACCGAAAGCCCAGAATAATTGATCACGGAGATAATGCCTTTGCGACGAAAAAAAGTTTATTTCCCCCTCAAAAATGTCCATGTCTTCACACACTACTCTCCGATTTGCACACTTCCTGCAACAATTTCTTCTTCTGCGTTTCCCTGCAACAAGTGAAATCCCACGGGAGAAAAGGAGCAAATTTAGGTAAATAGTGATTTTGCAAATTTTTGTTTGTGAATAAAGAATTGTGCATATAGGATAACAAAGTTCATCAGGTGTTCAAGAGCATTATCTTCTGGGTTAACATAGTAGCAAATAACATCTTTAAGGGTAAGAGAGTAGACAGAGTTAGCAGCATCAAAAAAATTTGATTCAACATCACTCCAAAACTTTTTAGATATATCACAATAAAAAAACTGATGTGAAATTGTTTCTGTATTAAGATTGCAAAAAGTACAGGAATCATCAACATCTATAAGTTCAGCAATAATACTACTAACTGGGTATATATTATGCAGTATTTTAAAATGTACTTCTTTAGCCTTGTTAGATATGCAATATTTGTGGGGTAGAAGCTCTTCTCCAGTTGATGTCCTCTATTTGGGACCTCCAGTAAAACTTGCCTCTAGGCACAACTCTATTCATTCTTTGAAAACACTGGCGAATATGTTTATTATTACACTTTCTATCTGTTAGTTCAATTCCACTCAGCATCAGTACAGGTTGACTTGGTTTATATTCACTGTAACTCAAGTGGCTTTTTAGAAGTTGAATTAACTCTGTTGGGATAGCACAAGTTACAGATATACATTCTCTGGAGGGAACAGGAAAACTGTGTACAGACATAAAACGTTCATAAGACAACATATTACCAGCATTATCAAAAAGATCGAGGATATGGATGATACCTCTTTCAAACTATTTTAGCAAGAATAAGGATTTGTTTCTTATAAGAATATTGATATTATTCCAGAGGAAAGCCTTGTGGGGGAGAAATTGTGGACAAAAGCCAGCTTCCATGCTAGGAGGGTTTGTTGATGAAATTTTGATAGTTTGATTGGTAATCTATTAGGTAAAAAATTACATTTCAAAAGAAAGGAAAAACCTCCAATTTTATTAAAGATGTAGTTTGGGATGAAAAACCAGATAGAGTCAGGGTTTCTGAGACACTTTCTCAACCAGTTAACCTTAAAGGTATTGACAGTGTCGATAAAATCTAGGACTTCAAGACCTCCTTCTGCCTTACTGATGGAGAGTACACATTTCTTGAGTTTATGAGATTTATTTTTCCGGATGAAATCTCAAAAAATGTATTGACCTGTGTGGTAGTTGGTTCACTTACAGATAGGGACAATGCTGGATATACAAAGCGAGACAATCATTGGAATTATGCAAAGACAAAATTTCACATTTGGACATATTAAGTCTTAGACCTGAGGCGTTTGGATAATTAGAGTAATAGCATTAGAGAGTTGATTCTTGTCTTTTAAAAAAAGTGTAGTGTCATCTGCCAGTTGGGAGATTTTTAATTCTCTGCCAAAAATTGAGATACCTTCAAATTTCTCATTGTTCACAATATTGATTATCAATAACTCAAGAAATAAAAAGGGAGATATAGGGCAGCCTTGTCAGACACCTCTGTTAATTTGAAATCTTTTAGATGTGTTCAAATTGATTATCACAGAGCTGTTAATGTCTTCATAAAACATACTGACAATATCAACAAAGTTATTCCCAAAACCGAATACTTTGCTCAATTGTATCAAAGGCCTTATAAAAGTCTAAGAACAAAATAAAAGCCTCGGTGTCGATTTTT